CTTTTTTTTTTTTAACAAAGTCTTCAAAATCTCCTATGTATTTTACATTTACAGTACACCTTAATTTGAACTAATTACATTTCTAGTTCTCAGTTGCCACTTGTGGGTAGTGGCAGCCATAGTAGACAATACAGTTCTCACCTAACTAATCAAGAAAAAAGAGAGAATACACAAATTAACAGTATCAAGAATGACAAAGAGACCATTACTGTAAATCCTAAAGTCATTATTTGAATTAAAAGGGACTATTACATATTATATAGCAAATTTATATAAACGAATTCAACAACTAATATAAATGGACAGATTCTTTAAAAGACAACAAAGCTCACTCACTCTAGAAAAAATAAATAACTAAAAAAATAAGAAAAACTTTAAAAAATAAAAAGTAAATAGGGAGCTATCTATGTTTTTAAAGAAATTGAGTTCAAAGTTAACAACCTCTAGGCATATTTAAGGAACATGCCCTGTTTTATCTTTTCCCCATTTTCTCTCTTTTTAAAGTTTGAATAATTTCTGTTAATTTATGTCCAAGTTAATTATTTTTTCTGCTATATGCAGTCTGCTTATTGAAGAAATTTATCTCTAATGTCACATTTTAAAAAAGATTCTCTGCGAAATATCCCACTTGTTCATGTGCCTCTTGACTAGAGACTTTTATAGGTTAATCACAAATATATTAATGACTAATATATAATATAAAATTGATTAATAATTAATGTTTTAATCTAAAAAATTAAAAAATACCTGTCTCATAGTTTCAACATTTGAGACATCTTTGGGTCTGGCTCTGCTGACTGCTTTATCTCTTGATATTGGGTTTTGGAATCTGTGGTGTGTGTGTGTGTCCTATTAAATTTTTTTTGAGCTCTAGACATGATATATGGAAGAACAAAAGCTAAATCCCAGACATCATATGCAGAAGAACCTGAGCAAAATATTTGGGCATAGAAATGATAATGCCTATTCTGTCAGGTCATTAATGTGATTGAGTCTAGTAAGTAGTTGACCTTGGTTTGGGTTTTATTGTGTTGTAGTTGGCTTCCATTCACCAATGATTTCAGAACTTCAGATGCTGCTTCTACTTTTTGCATAGTATGCGGCCTAGTGTGGCTATGGATGGTTTCTCTGTGTTCCTGACTCACTCTCAGCTTTCAGCAGACCCTGCAGATTCATGTCTTAGAGAGTCTCTCCACATTCTTGCCCCTGCTCTATGGTAGACTACTGTTGCTTGTTACTCAATAAGAGGCTCATGATAGGAACAGTGGGAATTCTTGCTTCTTCCGAACCAGCCTTTATCTTGGACAGGCGCTGTGCATGTGAGCAGGGTTACAGTTTCTCAGGATTACTGTCCCTATCCTTTCCATGCTAGCCAGACTCTGCCTTGCATCTGTGGGTGTTTTAGGGTCAGAATTTCTTGCCTCTCTCCCAATGGGAGCAGATTTATCTTCATATCACTGCAGGATTCTGTGCCAACGCTGATTTTCTGCCTCATCTCTAAGATGAGATAGCTTTTGCTTCACCTTCAACGGCAGTGTGCCTTTACCTGGACCTGGTGGCAGAAGAGTTTCCTGTCCCTGCCCCCTTGCAGACTGCTTTTACTTGTTATTCCATGCAAGACATATTGTTTGGACACGTTTCCTGTTCCCCTGTCAGGTACAGATAGTTTCTCTCTCTCCCTCAGCTACAGAAGTGTAAAAGACTTTTTAAGACTTATGATTCATATGAGAGAAGTGTTCAAGAAGTAGACAGGTTTTCATGAAGACAGGCGCCATACCACTAAGGGCTGTTCTTTCAGGTTTCCTGCCATGACTCACTTCTTTGTCGTGTGCAACTAAACAGTAGACACCCATAAGTGCATACTGTCCTTTTGTCTGGGACTTCAGGGATTTGAAACTGTCACAGCAGCCCACATTTAGCATTTAAAAGTTTGTTGAAATTTGTAGCAGTTTTATTCTTATCTGTTTGTATAGTAGCCTTCTCTTTCTCTTTGCTCTGCCGTAGATGAAACCGTTTGTGTACATACTTTGACTTGACTTTCCAGGAGGGGCTTGTTACTTTTTGAAATTTAGCTTACCTGGTTGCGTTGCAAACTCATGCCTCTGACAGATTTCAGAAAATGTAGGATTTTGTAAATAATGTGATTTTTTTTTCTCGTTATTGGGGTAGGAGCTATGCTCACTTTTATTCTGGTATCCTAAGTTAGAAGCCTAACTCCCTTTTTCCTTTTTAGCATGGTTAAAACCATATCTTTTTACATCCTCTCTTTTTTAATTCCCAGGATAGGTTTTAGAATTATGATACTCTACTATTTTAAACACTTTATTATCCTTAGGACACTTCTGACCACTTGATAATTTTTATAAGCAATTGCCTTCTTTGCAACATGTAGTCATCATTAACATGAAACTGTGACAATACAGTTTTTTTATGCTATTTATGCTTGCTTAAGGATGTTCAGATTATTATGATAATGATAGCCTCAAAGAATATGACTGATGTTTAAAATAGGATCTGAACTTATTTATGAATTTGTTTTAGAAAGCGATTTCTAACTAGAGGAATTTTCTTAATTCAGTTTTTTAAATTAATATTGAGCATAAGTTTGAGCATAATTTTCATATGAGAACTTTTGCTGCAAGTGGCCGAAGCCCAATTCAAGCAAGTTTTGTGATTATCATAAGTATCTTTTGATGCCTTTGGTACCAAGCATACAAAATTTAAAGAAAAAGAATATGGGGTGTCTCATGAAACCTGAGGATAATACAAGCAGGCTTGAAGGAGACTAAAAGGAAAGACTAAAAGCTGTTAGGATTTTCTTTCTTTCTTCTTTCTTCCTTCTTTCTTTCTTCTTTTTTTGTGTGTGACTTTTTGTAGAGATGAGATCTTGCTATGTTGCCCAGGCTGGTATTGAACTTCTAGGTTCAAGCAGTCCTTTTGCCTCAGCCTCCCGAAGTGCTGGGATTATAGACATGAGGTACCCCCTCTAGCCCTCTTCATTTCTTGGCTGTACTCCTCACTGACATCTGCTAGCCTTCCTCTCTGCAGATAGGCCTTCCGCAGCATCCCTGGTGCCTATGTTGGTAAGCATTCCCACAGACAGCTACCTATTAGATCTCTTAATACTAATGAGAAAATGATCTCTCTGGCTCCTAAGTCCTTAAATTCATCAGGAGAACTGATGGATCCAGCTTGTGTCAGGTGTCCATTCCTGAATCAAACTATATCAGAGACACAGGATCTGAGAAGGAAGAGAACAATCGAGGTTGATCAAGCCTAATGCCCACTCTTGGATCCAGCCACTGTGGTTGGCAGGCAAACTGACATCATGCAGGGTGGAGGGCCACAGGTGACTTTTTGGATTGGGGGTAGAGGGAACTTGAGGAGGATTAAGAGACAGAAATAAGGATTTAATAAAATGTTTGGAAGGAATGTTTGTAACATTTCTTTCCTGAATGTAATAAGGATCTATATCCTGATCTATAAAATATCAGTATATCAATTGTTATAACAATATAGGTGTTCACTATTTCTCAAATTTTCATGATACTGATATATTTTTCAGCGTCTAAGATAAAAGGTACTTAACAATAAGCACAAAACTTGTTGGTTTATTGGAGCTTAATTATAACATTTAGCTATTTACTAAAATAGATAAAATAAAATATTTTCTTGTACATTTTCCTCTAAATTGAATAGATTTATAAGACAGAAGTGTGCTTATTTGATTTAGGGTTTTTATTGGGGCTACTCCCGCATTTCCATTGGGTCTTAACCTTTGAGATTTTTGATGTGGATATGGTTTCATTATGGAAAGTGATTTAGAACCCACTTTATGAGCCATGCAGCTGAAAAGAGTGTAGATACGATGGCTTCTGGGCATGACAGTGGTATACCTCTCACTGGGGTTGAACCTCTGTAAGCTAAATTATGGAGTACTTACAGGCACACATTTTTTCTGTCAGGAACTATGGGGCATGTGAAATGCATTTATGATTGATAGTAGGGCACACAGAGTTTAAAACCCACATTTTTAAAGTTAGACTGGTTAACCTTGTACAATACTATAACATGGTGCTTTGGAATTAGAAGCACAGAGCAGTAACATTTGCTGCCAAAAGAACCATATTTATTAAGCTGTAAGGAGAAGGATTTGAAAGGCAGAACATTGTATTTCATCTTGCGAATCAGTTTTGATCTTCATCATCAGAGGTCTCACAGAACAATTTTTTTTAAAAGAAACTGGACATGCTAATCAATCCTATAGAATCTGAAAGGTGATGAATTTTTCATCACTGCGTTGTGGCTTTAAAGTTAACCGTAAATATTTATAAATCTCCTCATCCCAATACATATAAAGGTAAAATAAAATGAAAAGAATTGAAGACAATAGCACTTTGACTTGTTCTCTCTTATTATTTTTTGGATACATAAGATTTTACAAAAAAAATCGTTTCATTGCTTAGTCTAAAGTGGGGGGGGTGTCTTAAACCATTGATACTATTTTGCAGTTGGTAAACACTTCCAATTCATTGTGACTAGAATTGAGGAATTTGAATGTTAGTGGCTTTGTAGAATTTATAAAAACAAACTATAGGCAATTTAAATACTGCTTTATCTCATCCCAAGGCTTTGAATCTGAGAAAATGCCGAGAGATGCTACACTGTTCTGTGAATAAAAGATACTTCATCTGACAAGAAAAGAGGAGCAGGGGGATATGTTTTCTTGGGCTTATTGTCAGGCCTTATTATTTTTTTCTGAGAAGTTATTTTAGTTGTGAGTTCAAAAACTGATTGTCACATCTTCTAGCTTTATAAGTAAGGATACAAAACCGTAAGAGAAAAACATATGATAATATTAGCTACCATATTTTGCCCTTTAAAAGTACCTGTCTTGACTAACATTTATTGCATATAATTCTAAAAAATGAAGTAAAGGGAAAAAATTCAGTATATGATATTCTTTCTGCCACTCAAAAATGGGTTTGATTTTGTTTCAGGATTCATTTTGGAATGAAAGGCTCCATCGTGATTAATCCACCTCATTATAAAAGTAAAAATGGAGTTTCTCCTGTTTTGGAAGTGCAGCTTACCAAGGATTTGATTTGTTTCTTTGACTCATCAATAGAATTCAGGTAAAAGGATAAAAGTACTTCAGCTGTAAAACTGCAGAACTTGGTTTGGGATGTCACATGTATCACTAAATAAACAAATAAATAGTGTATAATTGATGAAACCATAGCCTTCAAATAATATAGTTTGTTAGGGGCTTCCTTTTTTGCCTATATAACTCTTATGCCCTTATTAACATAAACTGTTTATATCAATGCTCATTTTAAATGACACTTTGTGAATCTGTAACCAAATTTATATGTATTTCGTATTCCTTTTTATAGAAGCTCAAAGGAAAGTCAACAGAAAATAAGAATGATGGAAGAATTAGATGTATGTTCACCTAAATTTAGTTTCCCAAGAGCAGAAAGTGAAGTTAAAAAGCAGAAAGACCGGATGCTATGTGATGTGTTAATGGATCAGAGAGTGTTGCCCGGGGTAGGGAACATCATCAAAAATGAAGCCCTCTTTGACAGCGGTCTTCACCCGGCTGTTAAAGTAGGTCATAAGTATTTTTAAATGCTTCTCTCTATTTTTCAGTACTGCAAAGGGACCAGTGTGGAACTCTTAACTCTGTATTGCTGTAGCATTCTCCTCAGACTTTAGGTGTCCTCCTTCCCATCTCTGCACAGGGCACTTCTCAGTGCTCCAGCTCTGATCACTCTACTTAAATTGCCACGTGTGTCCCCTCCTCCTATCCCACACTTCAGGTTCTTAGTCTTCCTTAACTTGCTTTGTTTTTTATTTTCTCCATACCATTTGTCTCTTTCAAACATAATATTTACTTATTATATTTGTTGTTTAAAATCTGTCTCCTCCTGCTAAATGCAGTCTCTAAAAAGGACAAGGTGTCTGTTTTCTCCACTGAGATATTCACATATCTAGACCACAGTATCTAGCATGTCTTAGGCATTAAAGAGATATGTGGGGAGCATGTGAAGGAACTAAACTCACCACTTTCGTTTTCTCAGTCTGGCATATGAAATACATTCTCTACACATACTCCTGTATTCCCATTTACAGTTATTGGTGACATTAGAAAATGCTTTTTCAGTGGAATGATAGGAATACAAGTCAGGTAGCAGTGACTAAGGAATAAGTAATCACTGAAGAGCTGGAAACAGAATTGAGTGTCCTTGTTCAAACAGCTTAGATATGAGTGAAGGGAAAATATTAGACTGCTAGAGGGCTATACCAGGACAAGGAATGGGTTTGTTGTTTTTTTCTTGTTCTTCAGCTAGAGAAACTTGAACCTATTTATATGTTGCAAAAAACAAAACATAACAAAAATCCTGGTAGAGAAGGAGAGGTTAAAATTGTAGTAAAGAGAATGGTGATTAATAAGACAAGGCAAGGTTCTGAGGGGGTCAAGGAGGTAAGAGCCTAAACCTTGGTTAGAATACATGTATTTTAGTTTCTAGGGAAGAACTCTACATTGGAGTTTTTATTTAGATCTGGTACTATTAATTAAATTAATTTTTTTCTCCATTAACTCAATTGTTTTTTACATAAATCCAGAGATACCTCTTTACTTTTTGTAGATACTTCCTAGATAATTTTGAAAAAATCCAAATTACTAGGAATTAAGCTTTAAAACAAAACAACTAATGAAAGTTCTAGATTAGATTCTGCTTTTTGACACTTGTTACAAGCTAGGTCAAGATGGAAATAATGAAACAGAATTTTAACAAGAATGAACTTCTTAAAATCACTTAGATCTCTATGAAAAATACTTCTGAAAAAAAATAAAAGGAAGCTGGAGTATGTTGTTATCTGTGATGCACTGAGAATTTACTTTTTATCTGTGTATCCAGTCAGCCAGCCATCTAGTAAAAGATCATTTACTCACACTGTCAGGATTTAAAAATTAATGACATTTCAGAATTTTAGCTCTTAGCCTCCTAAAAACATGTGGACAATCATTGAAAAAGTACAGTTTAACATTTCAAGGCATGACTCAATATATAGTGTATAAGATATGGTAAGAGGTAAGAAATAAATGTTTTAGAAGTGCATAAGTTTTAAAGTTTAGGTAAACAAAGAATATTTCTGATACTTTTAGAATTGATTGTGTTGATTAGATTTTCATTTTTATGGTCACTGATATTTTCTTGTGTTTGCTGTGTGTGTGTGTGTATATATAAAAATATAATTATTCCTTGGTATGCGTATGTAGGGGAATGGTTCCAGGACCTCCGCCTGTGTCAAAATCTGAGCATACACAAGTCTCACAGTCGACTCTGTGGAATCCATGTATTCAAAAAGTCAACTCTCAATATACACAGATTTCATATCCCATGAATATTGTGTCTTCTGTCCATGTTTGTTTGAAAAAAATCTGTGTGTAAGTGGGCCTGCTTAGTTCAAGAACCATGTTGTTCAAGGGTCAACTGTACATATACATATTCATGCACATACAACAAGAGTTAGGCATTGGACAGAATCTCTTCTGGGATTACCATTTAGAGCATACGTGCCAAATAAAAATTCTGCAAGGGTAACACTAAGTCTATGCTAGGCATTGTCACAGAAAAATTCTACAATCAAGTTTGTTTCTGAGTTCTTCCACGTATTAACAAGTACTTTAATATTAATGCATGTCTATAAATTCATGCATATTTTTAAAGCTTGATCGTGAGCTTGATGGTCGACATCTGCTCCTGTGCCTATTTTTTCTTCCCTTCTTTTTTCTTTCTGTTTTATATTTTTCTTTTAATTTTTTTTTTCAAGTCCAGCAAGATGTTCAAGGTGTTTGATAGATAATGCTGGCACTTTGAGGATGTCTGATATAGAATAAATATTCAATAAATCCTTGAATGTACAGTTTATAAATAGGAATGGTATTTTTTTCAATCAGTAGTACTATTAATTCAAAATTACAGTTAGTGACACTAAATAGTTATATGAGAAATAGAGTTCTAGAAGATATATATATCACACACACAATTGACTGCCCTCCGCAGTCAAAAATCTGCATGTGACTTTTTACTTCCCCCAAACTTAATTACTAAAAGACTTCTCTGTTGATCAGGAGTCTTAGCAAAGAATATATACAGTTGATAAACACAAATTTTGTGTGCTGTATGTGTTATATACTGTATTCTTACAATAAACCAGACAAAAGAAAATGTTATTATAAATATCATAAGGGCCAGGAGCAGTGGCTCACACCCGTCATCCCATTGCTTTGGATACCCAGTATGGGAGGGTCCCTTGAGACCAGGAGTTCAGAACCAGCCTGGGCAGCTCATCAAGACCCAATCTCTCCCAAAAAATAAAAAAAAATATCATAAGGAAGAGAAATATATTTACTTTGTATTAAGTGGAAGTGAATCATCATAAAATTTTTAAATTCTTTGTCATCGTCATCTTCATGTTGAGTAGGCTGAGGAGGAAGAGGAGTTGATCTCGTTGTCTCAGGGCTGGCAGAAGTGGAAGAAAATCTGTGTATAGGCGGACTCTTGCAGTTTAAGCTCATGTTGTTTATGAGTCAACTGTATTTTAAATCTATTTACAGTTCTCTTTAACAGAATTGGCAAGTAGTATTTTTTTTTTTTTTTACATTGATGAGCAAATTGTGAAACTGTGCTCAGTTGTTTTTCCATTTGAAGGTTTGTCAGTTAACAGATGAACAGACCCATCACCTTGTGAAAATGATACGTGATTTCAGCATTCTCTTTTACAGGGTAAGAGCAAAATTTTTCAATTATGTAAAATATCTGGTTTCCCTTTTGATTGCACCAAAAATGTTAAAGCTGTATATAGCCATCTAGTGGTAAGAGGATAGCAGTACAATAAGGAAGAGTGACATTTTGTGGGCATAATTAACATTGTGAAATTCTAGGTCATAGGTCAGTCCAAACTTGTCTAACTCTAATTATATTAAATTATCTTTATGCTAAGTCAGAGAGCAGAAATGTAAGCATTTCACAGACTCTTTTATGTTTTGAATACACTGAGTATAGAAAGTCTAGCTCTACAGTAATACTTTAGGATACAGAAAACTTAGTTCAGTCAGACTTGGCCGCTTACTATCTGTGTGGTTTAGATTCTATAGGTAACTTTCAGTTTTGTTTTTGTCATCTACTCCTGTAAAATGAGATAATATTTCTTTACCACAAAGAGTTTTGAGAATGGAATAAGTACTTGCTAACTGGTAAATTTTAGAAGTTGTATTTTATATGTATATATAGTTCAGTAAACACATTTTATGTTTTAAACAAAGAATCACAAAGATGTCTGCTTTTTCCTCCATAGTCCATTTCCTATATTCAAAATTCTTACTTTTACTACGTTCAGAAAAGAAGATATTGTAGTATTCTTCATTAATTGGCCTAGAATGTTAGTAAACTTTTTGCTTTACAGATCTGCTTTGAGTAGCTATGACTATTTTTTAAGTACATAGGCTTACTTCTTCTAGAGAAAAGGTATTATAGAAAACTTCCCATTTCCTGCCTAGATTAAATTATTTCAATACTTTCCTTAATTAGTATAAATTGTTTGTGTAATTTTCAGTTCATACATGGTAAACCATATTTCTGGGCTTTTAAATTTTCACACTGCTAATGGAAACCCAGAATATTATTCTCTCTGTAGGAGCATTAAATGTTTGTGAATAAAATAAATCTGATGGAAAATATTAAAATATCTTTTGAAATAGAACTTATACCAAAATGTAACAAATTCTCTGCTAGGATGGTATTTGAATATTTATTTTCTTTTTTTAAATTAAATCTCTAAGATTAAAAAAGAAAAATTGTCCTTCAGGTCAGCAAAGACGATGCTCTTGTTAAATTTTGCCTCCTAGAAATAAGTTTTTTGGCCATTAAAACTGAGCAAGCGGCTTCAGTGGTCTAAAAATACTCAGATTTAAAGCTAATCTTGTCTTTTTCTTAAAACCACATAATTATGTTTAATTAAAAAAAACTCAAAAGAGTAAAAGACATTTTAAAATATAGGACTTTTATGCCTCATTTAGATAAGAGGGTAAAGCTATGCAAAGAACAATTCTGAATACTAATAAGTTATAAAATAATGACTTAATTATTTCATACAAGTCTTATTTGACTACCAAATCTTGTCAATACCTTTTTCTCAGATGACAGAAAGATTATGTGGACATATGTACAAGCATATGTATATTTTTAACAGATTATTTTCAGAAATTTCAAGAATGCATCTTTGACTCTTTGGCAACAGTATTTTATAAATAAGAGTATAATAATTTCTGTTTTGTTTTGTTTTTTTGTAGTGCCGTAAAGTAGGATCTGCTGTCTCTAAACGCTATAAGGTTTACAAGCGTCCTAATTGTGGACAGTGCCACTGCAAAATAACTGTGTGTCGCTTTGGGGAGAATAATAGAATGACATATTTCTGTCCTTACTGTCAAAAAGAAAATCCTCAACATGTTGACATATGGTAAGATATCTAATTTAAAGGGAAACATTTGCCCCAATTACCTAACTAAAAGGCTCATAATCAGAGAGTATAATTGAATAGCTATCAGGCTGTTCACAAGAGAACATAACTCAAAGGTATTTGAATCCTTAGAAAGAAACAGTTAATGATACCATCAAGGAAACAGAAGGAGCCAAAGATGATTTGTGGTCCACTTCTGAATTCAGGTAGAAAATCTCTAGCTTGGGTGATAATATCTTGCCTTTAACTGTACTCTGGTCTGTACAGTGAGTACCAGGAGGTGTCAATCATCGGAAAATGCCAGACATGGTATCTCATGTCTGTAATTCCAGCACTTTGGGAGGCTGAGGTGGGAGGATTACTTGAGCCCAGGGCTTTGAGACCATCCTGGGCAACATGGTGAGACCTCATCTTCACAAAAAAATTAAAAAATTAGCCAGATGTGGTGGTGCAGGCCTAGAAGTTCCAGCTACTCGCGATGGCTGAGGTGGGAGGATCACCCAAGCCCAAGAGGTCAAGGCTGAGGTGAGCCACAGGTGTGCCACTGCATTCCAGCCTAGGTGACAGAATGAGAGCCCCCAAATCAAAAAGTAAAAAAATTAATAATAATAATTGAAAAAATGCAACTCTCTTCAAAATCTTCACTTCATTTAGAAATAATATTATAAAATACAAGCAAGATCTTTTAACATAATTTACATCCTGGTTAAGTGACAGAGTACTTATTAAACACATACATGGTGATCTAGCCAGTCACCGAGTATGTCTTTTTTAATTTTGTATTCTGGAGCTGTGGAAATAACCAGAGGATAGGTGCGGGAACTGCTGTGAGATGAACTTGGGCTAAAAACTCCATGGGTCACCTGACCTGACTGGTGAACCACAGTGATCTTTAGGGGTCTTGTGGAATTAGTGTCAGTTGAGAGAAGCTTTTCAGAGACTTCCCCCCTCCCCCAAATCTGGTTGTTTTATTTCCCCCAGTGCACCATTACCCTGGTAAAAGGCCATAGTTCTTTCGGGGAAGGCCAGGAGAAAGATTAGCAGCATAAAGTCGTCACTGCATAATGGTATATGTGATTATAAGCCAGAATTACCAGTGCAGATGTGAAGCACATTAAATGCTATGAGAGTTCCGGGATATTCGAGGTTTATATATGCAGGAAAGTTGGGAAGCTCTCATAAAGAAAGTGTCATTTGAAATTTACTTTAAAAAAAATAGAATTTTGGTTAAGTAAATGATAAAGCAAACATTTTTTAATTGGAAAAAAGGAGCATGGCCTCAAAGCTTGAATCATTTATGAGCATGGTATGTTGGAGGGATGATGAGAACACTGCCGAGCCCAGGAGGTTCCAAGTTGTGGAAGAGTAGAAACTGGATTTTACAGCTAGAAGGGGATCAATAGCTGAGATCCTTCATAGTTCTGGAAATGGTTAATGTCTTGCCTAAAGCGGAGGATCAAGGACTTCCAAATGATTGTGGCATAGTTAGGATGGAAAATGAGGAGACTGAAAACATGTGTGAAGAAGCCAGTGCAGGGTAATGGGCAGGAGATGGTTATCAGGCCCGGGGTCAAGACACTGGACATGACACCTTAATTAAAATTTTAAAAAGTCAGCAATAATTGTGGCAGATTTGATATGTAGAATAATGCAGAACGTTGCCGAACCAAATAATAGAAGTGTTCACATTATGGGTTTGGGAAAGTTGGGAGAGAATAGTGAAGATACATTGAGGTTGGATGTGGGAAGTGATGATGGAGCATCCTGGAAGAGAGGTCTCAGGGGCCACGTGGCAGGGAGGGAGACAGCGCTTGAGGGTGTCAGCACAGGGTTGTTAGTGGAAGCCTTCATGCTTTCTCAGGTCACTGAGAAAGAATAAAGAAATGAACCAAGGTCTGAGCTTCAGGGAACAGCTATAACTACAGAGTAGGAGGAAAAGCAAAAAATATATATATATATATCCCAAATGAGTATACCTAACCCTGACTTGTACCCCGCATCTTCAAAATTAAAAATTAAAAAAAGAAGAAAAGCTGAATGATATGCTTGGAATAGGAAGATAAGCAGGTGCAGCGTGTCTGTACAGAAGCCTAGGAGGAGGGAGGAGCCATGTGTCTGTAGAGCTTAGGCCACAGGACCAGCTGATGCCAGTGGAGGTCCCCCTTGTATCTTCCTAAATGCATCTGGGGCTGCTTTGTTTTTCCTCCTACCTCTGTTTCATTTCTAGATCCCTCCTTCTCTTGGTCTCAACTTTACTTTAAGCCACTCCCTATCTCCTTCCTCTCAGTTTTTCACCCTGGTTTACTATGATAGAGGTCTGAAATATGTGCAGATAATTATATGTATTTATATATAGTGCAGGATTATGGCTTTCTTATTTTTTATGAACAAGAACTATTTTTGTAGCAGAAGTATACATTTATTTGACTAAATGCGTTTATCATAGTATCTGACAGAAGACCTTCAAAATATATTTGTCTACTAAATATATATCATTAATAAATGATGAATGTTCTGTGTTTGTTTTCTCTAAATTGGTAGCTTTTGAGATTTAAAAAAGTCTTATTCTTCCAAATCATAAATGTTATTTATCATCTAAACAAGATAGTTGTCAATTCCAAAAGTTTTTGAAACTAGATTTTAAAGTCTCAAGGGTTCCCTGAAAGAGACGGGCGGGTCACCTGTGAGTTAGGGGTAGCGGGGTAGCCAGGCTATGCTGAAAATGACTGAACCTTGTAATCCCTCCTTCCTCCCAACCTAGTTCTGTTTTATATATTGGCATTCAGCTTTAGAAAAATCAACTATAGACTGCAGGTAAATGGTTACATAATAAAAAAGTTTAAAAACCAGTTCCATTTGCCCTATTCTTAGATTTTTCTATGAATAAATATATTCCATTTAATTTCTGATGAGTATTTGAACAGTTTTAATGTCGACTAAATTTTTTTATTTTAAGTCATTTTTAGTTAAGTTGAAGAAATTTGAAAATCTGGAATAGCAATGATAGAAATCCAATTGCTTTCTCCAATTGCTAAAAGTTTACTTAACTCCTTCATTAATATCTCACATTTTTCAGTTTTTGTTGCTCACACAACAATTTTACTACTTGTACCATTTATTGTTGGTTCTTAATTATATACTAGCTAGCATAATTTATGTATGTAAGTATTGTTTTCTTTAGAGGAAACTGTTTGAGGTATTCTTTTGCTTTACTAGATAGTCTTTTTCTTTAATTAAAAAAATTTAAAATTTTTTATTTACTTTATTGGAATCTATATACCAGGTCCCGGGAATACAAAAACGAAGTAGAATGCAGCCTCTCAAAGTGCTCATGGTCTAATGTGGGAAGTAAGTGAGCAAATAGATAGTTAAACACCTGACAGAAGTGCCACAAAGGAAAACGTTTACACCGATGGCAATGGCAGTTTAGGGGAGAAAACACTGAAATCTACCTGGGATGGACATGAAAATCTTTCTGAAAGAGATGACACTTGAGCTTAATGTTGAAGGAAATAGGAATTCATCAGACTAGGTGGGAAAAGGATTTCCTGGAAGAAGAAACAGCATACGGGAAAGTGCACAGGAGAACTCGCGCGACTGGAGAACGGCACAGAGGAGAGGATGTTTTGCTCCTTTTCAGAAGACATGTTTGGGTCTCTAAAAACCATCTGGTTTGGAAACGTGTGGATAGTTGGTGGCTGGTCAATGAGAGTTTAGTGCTGTCTGCAAACCAATTCTTAAGGCAGGCCTAATCTGGCAGAGATTTTTGAGGGGATGGAACCATTAGAGGGCACTTGAGAGACTTAAACCTGTGGTGTTTAATCTTTGCGGGATTCTCTTATTCTGGGAAGAGATTTTGACTGCATCGTTACCATGTTTAAAACATAACTTGAAAGATTTTTTTTTAACTCAATGAAAGAAACTCAAATTATTGTCAACTGAAATGCTAACTTATGAGTCATGTAGCCAAAATGAATATTCACAGAATGAATGGAAAAGCTACAGGCACTAGGGCTTTGGAGACTAGAACCCACGAGCGTGACCTTGTCTTGGCTCTCCACAGATAGAACAAATAGAAAGAGTAAAGGTGGGTCTAAGCTGCTTCTTGCTTAGGGTGCTTACCTCAAGCCTCATGGTAAAGTTCTTTCTGGTGTCAGCAGAAGTCCATTCTGATGGGCTTCCAGGATGTGTCGGTACTTCGAGAATGATTCAAAGTAGGCCGAATGAAATAGCAATTGATTCAATTGAAATAGAACTTGGGCAGCAGCTTGAAAGTTCATTTTATTCAAACCTTCTTTAAATGCCACTATATTTTACGTAACGTCCTTTTAGTTTTATTAGCATTTATGTTGGTATTGAAAAAAAAATCGGTTTTATTTGAACGAAGAAAAATCAGTTGCTTCCCATGTTCATAACTTGTCTCCACTGAAAAGTGCAAAGATACCCAGCGACCCTGTCATCCTCCATTCGTGTTTTATGCCCCTCCCTGCTCCCCATCTGGGGGTCGTCTCGGATAAGAGTTGAATTAAGTCATTTGTGCAGCTACTGAGAGAATGCATGGGGGGAAGGGAAGGAGGTCCAGTAGAGAGCCTTGCTGTTACGTTAACTTTAGTGATTAGAAGAAGAAAAGGAGCCCGTGAAAGAGAGGCAGAAGAAACAATTCCATAGATACAAAAAATGGGGAGTGTTGGAGAGAGTTAAATCCCACTGCATTAGAGAGGACGGGGCTTGAGGGAGCCCATTTTATTGAAAATTGAGGTGATTTTCAAGAGAGCAGTTTTAATTGATGGGGCAAAATGTATTCATTAAACATACTTATGGAATATCTATAGAATACTGTATTACAGTGGGAGGACATCTTTTCAAGAAAAACTATCCACAATATGTGTCTAAGATGTCAGGCCATGACAGGTAGTGACCAGTGCTCTCAAGAGCATCAGTCAGTTGAAGGATAGTGACACGGAAGGTTCATTTTTAATAGGGTGGGCCGTTAAGTCCCCGAGGAGGAGAGTGTTAGAATGATTTGATGACTTGCAAAGGTCTGGGGAAGGTTTTCAAAGAAAGTAGCCCAGAAAGCATGAAGCCTCCGATTTGTTTAAGAAGGAGAACGAAGGCATGTGTGGCTGGCCAGAGCAGAAGAGATGAGGGACAGAGGGAGCCGCTCTGCTTGGCAGGGACTGGAGAGTGTGTGGAACCTGCTTGGCCAAGAAAAGAAGTGTCCATTTTATTCTGAGTATAATGGGGAATCTTGGGATGGTTTTGAACAGGCCTGAAATGACTGATTGGCATTTTAAAAGATTGCCCTGGCTCCTGTGGGGAGTACTGACTTTGAGTGAGCTGGGAAGCCATCAAGAGTCTTTGAGCAGAAGTGTGGCACAAACTGGCTTGTGTTTCATGAGGGCTATCCAGGCTGCTGCATGGAAAAGTGACCATCGTCGAACCAGAGTACAGCAGCAGCGTCAGGGGGCACGCGGTAGCAGTGCATGCATAAGTGATGGTCATGGGGAAAGTGGGTAGGAAAAACAAAGTGGTTAATTGAGAATATTTTGGATAGTTGAGGTAGGAGTAAGGCCTGAAACTTACACAAGTTAGAGGCCTTGTATATGAAAAATAATAAAAATTATGGATACAAATTTAGGTCCTAGTGTGAATACTGAGAATGAGAAATTACAATAAATTGCAATTGCTAAACACTACCAACAAACATCAGAAAAATTAGATATTATAAGTTTACTGCCTGACACAGCTGTGTAATCGCGTTCTTCCATGGTTTGGCCGCACATTCCTAGATTGCCTTTTCATGTGACCACTGACAATTTTATTACACTTTTTATTATTGATAGATTAGAAAATTGTCTTTTACTGTCACAATTGACTGTTGACAGTGAAATATCTCTAACGTCCCCTATAATACTTTGCTTAAGCATTATTTCTGTCTGTAAGGGAGATATTAGAGCAGTGGTTCTTCAACTTTAATGTGCATCAGAATTTCCTGAAGGATTTGTTAAGACACAGATTGCCATGCCCCAGCTCCAGAAAAATCCTGATTCAGTAGTCTGGACAGGGACCTGAGAATCTGCATGTCTAACAAGTTCCCACGTGATGCCAATGCTGCTAGTCTGAGGACCTTTCGCTGAGAAACCCAGCCCTTGGAACCCCCTCAGCTGGCTCAGGTTTCTCACCTCTGCCACGTTGTTCCTGGGTTAGGGGTGTGTGGTACAGGAGTTGGGTGGCCTCGCAACCCAGGTTATGATGGCCTGTGAGCAAGGAATACTGTCAGATCACTTGTTCAGATCGTTTTTCTCGAGGTCGCTAGGGCACGTTGTCCCTGGGCACTCAGGAGATGTGAGGTGGTGCTGGTAGCATGCAGTCGTCCTTGCTGGGAATCCCAGGACCACCACCACCGGCAGTACCCTTAGCCTCCACAGGAGTCACTGCTTCCACTCGCCACCCTCCCCACCCCAGTGCTTTGAGAACTCTCCAAGCTGCAGAAGGTTAAGCTTCCTTAGCTTCATGGCAGATTGGCCTCTGCTGCAGACCCTCTAGGATTTGCCGGTAGACTAGAAGTGAGATGTAAGAGAAAGAAGTGCCGGGATGACTTTTGGGTTTGAGCCTGATCATTTGAGTGATGCTGATGCCATTTACTGACATGAGACAAACTAGTGGGGTTGCAGATTGGAGGGTCACGAATTTTAATTTGTTAGTTTTCTGTGGCTGCTGTAACAAATTACCACCACCTTGGTAGCTTAAAACAACAGGATTTTTTTCGCCAGAAGTTCAACGTCAGTTTCACTGGGCCAACATTAAAGTGCAGGCAGGGCTGTGCTCCCTCTGAGGGCTCTAGGGGAGAATCTGTTCCTTCCTCTTTCCGGCTTGTGGTCAGCGGCGTTCCTTGATGTGTGTCCACATGGCTCCAGTCTCTGCCTCTGTAAGTCACGGAGCCTTCTCTCCTGCATGTATCAAATCTCCCTCTGCCTTTCTCTTATAGGGATACTTGGGATAGGGTTAAGGGACCACTGGGTAATCCAGGACGGTTATCCTGACATAGATCCTATGTCAGGATCTTTAATTACATCTGCAAAGGCTCTCTTTCTTCATAAAGTAACATTTATAGGTTCCTGGGGTTATATACCCGATATCTTCGAGAGACCAGTGTTCAGCCTACTACATGTTAAGTTTGAGATTCCTGTTACACATCCAAGTGGAGACTGCAAAAATTTATTAGTGGGTGATAAAGAAAAAAAGTAGTGAGGAAGAAATACTCCCAAGAGTAACTATAAGCACTCCTTATGATTAGTTGACTCTATAGAACAGGAGAGGAGGGAAATAGTAAAAAGTTAGAGCCCAGTGAAAATCCTGAGGTTCATTTAAATTGTGTTTATTTAATTATGAATAAATGCTTTTCAAAGTAAGTTAGTAGAGGACAGAGATTAGGTCAAGTAAACAAACTGTAGAAAGTCTGATGTTCCTAAGGATAAGAAATACTGAGTGGCATTAAAAATCAAGGTAAGTAAAGCTAAAAGAATCATAATGAGATGTACCTTATTTTTATATTTTCTTATGCTATTTATTATTTTTTCAGAAACACCAGAATTTTAAAACTGGTGTAATTATATGTAAGAAACAAAATGTTCCAGAAATAAGGTTATCTTTGAAATTGAAAGAATTCACATTCTGAAATGTAAGACATATGGCCTTTATCTGGAAGAGCTTTTTTCAGTTCGTTTGGAAACATGGAATGAATCCAGGCTACTGTTATGTGCTCCACAGAGCTGTAGCTGTGCGTTAGAGAGTAGGACTATATCAAAGCTGTGTAAAGGCAACAATAAATGGTCTAGAGTTTTTAAGGCACATGAAGTAAATATAAAACTTTCTTGGTTTACCTTCAATCTCTAGTTTCTGCGTAACTATTTTTTCCTGATATAGTTGAATGAAGATATTTTAGTTTTACTTTGGAAAAAGTACCACTTAAAAATTATGTGAGAAATACTTCCTAGTGTTGTATCTAATATTTTAGTTGGTTTTTAAAAAATCACACAGTTCTGTGACACTAGATAACTTTTATTTGACATTTCTGACTTTAACAGCAATCAGTAATCAGTTTAAGATAACTGTTATAACTTCTAAGCAATAATAAACAAGTAGCATTGAGGTATTGATGGTTCATTAATAGTTTCTGAAATACCTAGAATGCATAAGAACAAGGCAGCAATAACAATGTTAATTATTAATTTAAAATATTAATTTACAGCAAGCTACCAACTAGAAATACTATAGTCAGCTGGACATCTAGAGGGGTGAATCCTCATACAGACTGTGTGGCTCAGAAGTCTGAAGAGCAGTGGACTTGTGTGGTCTGCACATTAATCAATAAGCCCTCTTCTAAGGCGTGTGATGCTTGTTTGGCCTCAAGGCCCGTTGGTAAGACTGAATTTTGATTTGAGTTCGTTACATTTCATGAGGGTTAGTTATACCAAGTCAGGAACATATCTTGCTCCATCTTGATATTTCATAACTAAGTAAAATGCTGTCTTTCTCAAAGGTATAAAGGAATTGCCAACTTTTGCATGTAAACCATGCTAATATTCTGTTGAGAATTTTTTTTAACAGGGAGGGAAAACATGCTTGTGCTAAAACAGTATGTGCCTTTGTATCTCAAAAATCGAGATGATCACATCTGTTCTCTACTGTTTCTAATGAATTATTCAATAAAGCTTTGTTTTATGCAGATTTCAGCAACTTTCGAGTTTGTTATTCAGTCCAAGTGTTTCATAAATTGAAAGGGAGGATTTCTGTAAGAATATCTTTGCAGGTGGAATAGAAAAATGCTGAATTTTTTCTCTTCTTTATCCTTCCTACCCCTTGTTATTAAAATCTTTACCCAGACAATTGTACTGATTTCATTGAAATCCTTCAAAATAACTCTTTGTAGCTCATGATTCCATGCGTTTAGAGAATGTAAAACCTCAGAGGAAACCTGTGATTAAGAGCCATCTCATTGCTGCAGCTTCTATTGTGTTCTCAAAGTGTTATTTCTTTCTTCAATTAGAGATGAAAAGTTCATTCTTGACTTATGAACCCCTGCATTGTGTCAGCTGTCATATGGTGTTTTGTTCCCTGGGTCAGGAAGGCAGGCATCACCCCTTGCACAGCTTTGCTAGGAGCAGTAGGGATTACACCTCCTATCTCTATCCCTTCTTCAGTGTCGTTCAACAGAGACAGAACTTGTGGAAAACGATGATCTAGATTTCCACGTTTATTTCAAGATTTTGAAATGCCTTTGCATGTCTCATTAACTATTTCTTATTAACAATATAGAATATATTATGGTATAGATTCAAAAATCCTAGGATATTTTGTTGAAATATTTTATTTAATAGTTGTTTAGACTTTGTAGCGTATCCTGGCTTATTTTAAATAAGCCTTTCAGTTTGCCTTGTCATTCACAGAAATATTCCTAGTAGTCGAGAAAAAGGCCTCTAACTGCTGACCTCAAGGTTTATGGGGTATCATCTCTTAATTACCACTGCTTTAATACTTAGCCTAATATTAGCAAAACTGATAGCTAAATGACCTTTAAATGCTTGGACATAATACAAAGCAAAGATAAATCTTTGTTAAACCCATCTCTGGATCCCTATAAGTTGTTGAAATTTTGTATTTTAAATAATATTTCATTTCCTAACAAGATGATGATTAATTCTGGCTTGTCCAAGCTAACTTTGTATTGTTATATATTAGTTCACCACAATGAAGTAAACTAAAATTTTTAATCAAATAAAAAGATGTTCCAAATGGTATATTTATAGAAATATTACAGAATTACTTATCTCTCCTGCCAGATGCAGTGCTCAAGAATGAAGAGAATTCTATTGCTTTTAACAACTTAGTGAAGTACCCTTGTAATAGCTTTGGAAAACCACATACAGAAGTGAAGTTCAACAGGAAAACTGCATTTGGAACTACAACGCTTGTCTTGACTGATTTTAGCAATAAATTCAGTATTTTGGAAGGAAAAAAAAAACCAAACCAGATACTAGATGAGGCATTTCAAAACTCTCCTTCTACTAACGTTTGTTTTAGCGATGCACTTCACCCCTCCAAGGAGAAAACAAACTATATAACTCAACTACCTAGCAAAGTAAACATATCACCTACAATCTGCTCTGAGTCTAAATTATTTAGTCCAGCACATAAAAAATTGAAGACAACCCACTTCTCATCACCAGATTTCAAAAGTTGCAACCCTGGATTTTCTAACAGGTATGATGCTTCTAACCTTGGTCTTTAAGGTATTTGCGTTAAGTTTTAAGAAGGCAGAGGAATCATCCATTGCTAAGGAAATTGACTTGATTTGGATAACATAAATCAAACACTGAAAGACTATTAGGGTAATTTGTTTCCTTTCCCTTCTGTAGTTTAAAATAGCAGGGAAAGGACTGAAATGAAAAACAGTCTTTCCTACATCTATAAAAAGTTTTTTTTTCACTGATGGTTACCATATATGTACTTAATATTGATTATTTGGAAAATATAAATAAAAAATATTTAAAATCACCCATAATCATACTGGTTATCAATAACCACTGTTAGTGTTTTTTTAATATTTCCTTCTGATGAAAGATAGTCTTCTAAAAGGGAAACTGTCATTTATAAAAGTTTAGGAAGTACCTTATGTCTAAAGAGAGGGAGCTGAGATGCCTTTAGTGACCTTTCTGCTAAAGAAAGTGGCGGCATCTCAAACAGCCATGTGGGATGGTGTTCTTAATTTAAACAAAAAAGTCCTAAAGGGCATACTTGCTACTTTTGTATCTGAAATTCAAAAGTAATTTCAATGAATAAATACTGCCAGCCAGGTACAGTGGCTCATGCCTGTAATCCCAACACTGAGAGGCTGAGATGAGATAATTGCTTGAACCTAAGAGTTCAAATCCAGCCTGCCACAAAGCAAGACCACGACTCTATAAATAGAAAATTAGCTGGGTGTGGTGGCGCACACATGTACTCCCAGCTGCTCAAGAGGCTGAGGCAGGAGGAACACTTGAGCCCAGCAGTTCGAAGCTTCAGTGACCCATGATTGTGTCACTGCACTCCAGCCTGGGTGACAGAATAAGACCTTGTTTAAAAAAAAATAAATAAATACCAAAGCAGATATGTTTTTTTATTTTGCTTTTTGAGTTGGCATCTCACTCTGTCGCCCAGACTGGAGTGCAGTGACACACTCATGGCCACCCCAGTGTTGACCTGCTGGGCTCCAACGATACGTCCACCTCAGCTTTCCAAGTAGCTGGAACTACAGGCACACACTACCATACCCAGCTCATTTATCTTATTTTACTGTAGAGATGAGGTCTCGCCAAGTTGCCCAGGCTGGTCACAGATGTGGGCTCAGGCAATCTACTCGCTTTGGCCTCCCAAAGTGCTGGGATTACAGGCTGAGCCACCGAGCCCAGCCACAGATGTTTTATGGAACTACCAGTTAGTTACATGTCAGGAGAAGACCCCACTTGCTGTCACCTGTGATGCAGAAATTTTAATACATAATGTCATCATCCTTTTTCCTTGATTATTGGCACTCCTGAAACAATTTCCCATTGACCCTACTTCCTCTTTTATCTGGGCCTCCTTGACCCTCTATCTGGCTTCCTAACTACCATGATCTGATATGAAACCACTGTCAGAGACAGACGTTTCTCCACAATTTTCTAAGCTGCCTTTTTTTTTCCCGTCTTCAACAAAGCAGATGCCTTATATCCAGCATTTTTAAATGAAGTGAAGAATTTGTAAAGTGACAAAGGATGTTCTTCCCCTGTATGCCTTTTCTTGCTAATGGGAGATAAGCAGAGAAAGAGTTAACAGTCATCCCTCAGTATCCATGGGGGGTTTGTTCCAGGACCCTCAGGATACCAAAATCCATAGATGCTCAAGTCCCTGATATGGTGTAGTATTTGCATATAAACTGTGCATTTTCTGCCATATAACTTTAAACCATCTCTAGGTTACTTCTAATACCTAAATCAATGTAAATGCTGGGTAAGTGGTTATACTGTATTTTTTCTTGGTATTATTTTTTATTGTTGTGTCATTATTTATTTGTTGTTTGAGTCAGGGTCTCACTCTGTCGCCCTGGCTGCAGTGCAGTGGCACAATCATGGCTCATCACAGTCTGGGCTCAAGCAATCTTCCTACCTTAGCCTCCCGAGTTGCTTGGACCACAGGCATGCACCACCACACCTGGCTAATTTTTTTGACTTTTTATAGAAACAAAGTCTTGCTGTATTGAGTAGACTGGTCTCAAACTCCTGGACTCAGACTGCCTCATCCTCCCAAAGTGCTGGGATTGCAGGCATGAGCCATCGTGACTGGGCTGTTTTTTTTTTTTTTTTTTTAATTTTCAAATATTTTCAATCTGAGGTTGGTCGAATCCATGGATGTGGAATCTGCTGGCTGTTCTTTCGGTGAAATCTATAGTAATCTCAGGTGGAATTATAATTGCTAGCTTTTCCTTTAATCAACTATGTCTTCACTGATGGGGAGATTCCTCCTCTGGGCAGTAGGATAAGGGACCATCTGGTGTATCCTCATAGACTGATCTCTAGGAATCCTGAAAGTATATTTCATAGCAGTTCTGAAACAATCTTTGCTCAATGGATGCATGTATTCCACATTTCCTATCTCAACTCTAAGGTTACCATAAGTGAATCTTGATGATTTATCTTGGTTTTTAAGAAATTTTTTGTTCATAATAATTTATGATAATTGATGTAACTGTTGTCCACGTACTCACATTTGAATTAATCTGTGAAGGCTGAACTTTCAACTGACTAGACAAATACACCACTTTTTAACTTTTACCCTAGTTAATACCTCATGATGAAAATTCATGGTTAGTTAAGAGTGTTTGAGTTGGGAGCCTATACTGTAAGAAAAAATCATTTTTGAACAACCTTTTCCATTCTGTGGCTCAAGTAGAAAGAAGTAGAAGCCGGGCTCGGTGGCTCAGCCTGTAATCCCGTGCTTGGGAGGCTGAGGTGAGTGAATTGCCTGAGCCTGTGGGTTCGAGACCCGCCCGAGCAACTTGGTGAGACCTCATCTCTACAATAAATCAAAAAAAATTAGCCGGGTATGGTAGTGCCCGCCTTTTGTTCCAGCTACTTGGAAGGCTGAGGCGGAAGGATCGCCAGAGCCCAGCAGGTCGAGACTGCAGTGGCCAGGAGTGGCCACTGCACTCCAGTTTGGGCAACAGAGCAAGACTCCACTCAACAAAAAAGAAAGAAAGAAGTAGAAGTGATGATCATCTTAAAATATTGTGGCATTCGTTGTACCCAGATTAAATATCCTGGCATATTTTTATTCCCTTATTACTTTGTAGAAAATCTCAGACAATTTAACTAATGAATTAGGGATTTAAAAAAACATTAATGTAACCTTAAATTTAAATGATTTCTTCATAAGCCATTAGTAATAGGATTGTATGATTAATCACAGTGCACAGCATTACTCAGAAATGCTGCGGCCTGTGTATGTATTGAGTATAAGAACACCAGGACTGAGAATCCACAATCAATCAAGATCAACTAGCAGAATAAATGTCAAGTGATGAAATAAATTCACCCAGCAGCCCTTCTGCACCCAGCTACTTTACAAGGAATAAATTGCAAATTACTGTCATTTATTTCATTTTTCTCCTTGTCTGGCAGCTATAGTGTTCATCTTGTGGACAAGATGCCTAGCAGAAGCTCACAACATAATACCATTAAAGCAGGTGGTCCACTCATAATTTATAGCCAGTTTATGTTTTCTTTAATATTGTATGGTAATTACTTTGACTTTTGTTCACTTCATTACTGATCTCATTACCACACAATACATACAATGTTGATGAGGCATATTTTCAGATTGGTCTTCAGATATATGTTAATTCCATTCAGCTACTGGGTTATAAATTACATGATTGAACCAATTTTTAAGCAGTTAAAAATAACTACTAGAAACAGTTTAAGTCTTTGAGCCAATTATGGCAAACACAGCAGAACACAGTGATGCATTTTCAAAGAATGCATGTGTTGTAGGTTTCCTGAGCTTGATGCAAAGGCCACATAAAGGAGTGAAATGACACAAACAAAATCATTAATATTTTCTCATGTCTGCTGCCATCAGGGATGCTGAAGGTCTATCTCTCATCACCAGTGCAAGCACTGACACCTTGTATTTGTTTCTGGGTCACTTTTTGAAATTATCAGTACCTAAGGATTTCCGAACCACCTAGGACCATCCAGAATAAGTTACTTCATTTCTGTTAGTTTGTTCGTTTTTAGGTTTGTTTGTTTCAATCCTTGAAACAATCTTGTATGACAAAATCTACATTCAGTGAGACTGATGAATTCAAAGAACTTCAGACTATTTTTATTATCATGAGTTATCCTATCTGTAAAATAAGTTAGACTGTGATAAATTGATCATTGAAAAAATAATGCTAGCTTTAAAATGACATCTGTGCTCAATAATGCCTTCCTTCTTGATGATAGTTTCTATCTGATCTCTGTTTAGTGTTATTTCTATTTATTGAGAACCTATTATGCCTCAGACATTTTTTTTTAATTCTAATGACATCTACATCAGCAAACTACAGCCAGCAAGGCCAACTCCAGACTGCCACCTGTTTGTGTAAAGTTTTATTTCCATTTGCTATTTTCTGTGGCTGCTTTTCCTGATACAAACTTAGACCATAAGAACTGCAAGCCTAGAATATGTGTATCTGAATAGGTTTGCAAACTACTGATATGTTATACTAATCTATCATTTATACCCCAGTATTAAAAAATTCAAAATTATGATCATAATCTTCAAAATAAGTTAAAATACTGAATGCTAGATTTACTTAAGAAAATGCTGTTACATTTTAGAAAGTTTTAAAATAATGGTTGATACAAAAGAACCAAGATGTCCTCAATAAATCAGAACAATTAATAACCCTGGATAATGTTTTCTATCACAAAATTAAGATTAGCTGTGCATATTTAGAGCTGAGGCGATCACAGGTGGCATCAGTATTTTGCTATTTTAAGTCACTCAGTGTTTCACAACTTAATGTGCATATGAATCGCCTGGGAATCTTGTTAACATGCAGATTCTGATTCTGTAGGCAATCTGAAGTAGGGTGGATGCTTCCAGTCATTACACCACACTCTGAGTACCAAGAATAAGATAGCATACCGCTATTCTGTTATCTAACTCTCCACCAAGGAAGACTATAGAATTGAAGACAAAAATGAACCAGATGGAAGACACCAGGGCCTTTTCTTTCTACCTTAATCCAAGCTTTACCCTCCTCCCCAGCAAAGCTATAATAGAATAGGGGAAAGGTCTAAACCTTGCCCTGGATATGTGAAACGCTAAAACTCTTTATGTTAAAGCAAGTGGGTTAGAAAATGTTTAACTAGACTGGTCATGGTGGCTCATGCCTGTAATCCCAGCACTTTGGGAGGCTGAGGTAGAGGAACTGTCTGAACCCAGGAGTTCAAAACCAGCTTGGGCAACATACCAAGACCCCAACCCTACAAAAAAAAAGTTAGCTGGGCATGGTGGCATACACCTGTAGGCAGAAGGATCGCCTGAGTCCAGGAGGTTGAGGCTGTTGTGAGCTCTGACTGTGCCACTGCACTCCAGCCTGGGCAATGGACAGGAGACCCTGACAAAAAAAAGGAAGGAAGGAAGGGAGGGAGGGAGGGAGGGAGGAAATGTTTAAATGATATTTGAGACAGTCACCTTTAAAATAAAGATGTAAAACTTTTTATGTGTGCATATTTTAAATAAGAAAGCATCATTTTATTTATTTCTATTAATAGTCTTAATTATTTTTCTTTCTTCTTTTTTATTTACTTATTTATTTTTTAAGGCAGAGTCTCACTCTGTCTCCCAGGCTTGGAGTGCAGTGGCACACTCACGGCCACCGCAGCCTCGACCTGCTGGGCTCAGGCAATCCTTCTGCCTCAGCCTTCCAAGTAGCTGAAACTACAGGTGTGTGCCATCATGCCTGAGTTTTTTTTTTAAATTTATTGTCGAGATGACCAGCCAGCCCAGGCTGGTCTCAAACCCCTGGACTTAGGCAGTCCTCTCCCTCAGCCTCCCAAAGTGCTGGGATTATAGGCTTAAGCCACAGTGCTTGGTTTCCTTAATTTCTTTTAAACATTGCTTCTAAATCACTTGCTTCACTTGAAATCTCTTGACTGCTCTACAATGCTCCAGATATGTGGTTTCTCTTGAAGTTAAAGTTTAGAGGGGTTAGTAAAATAGAGGGTTGTCGAAAAGTCCGTTGTCCCTTAGCTTTCCTATTTCTGATTTAGTGTTACCTATGACCGAAATGCAAACCACCATCCTGAGAAAGGCACCAACAAAATAGTTGCTGGCAGAATATTTAATTATACTGATTTCTTTAGCAATGCCTACAGCTGCTGTTATTCTACAAATGACTGCTGTAAGAACAGTTTCAAAAACTGCCCTCGGAATGTTTGAGTCCATTCCAGAAAACATTCTTTAAAAATATGTATTTAAGCATCTGTTGTACAAACAAATTTAAACCAATTTCATCACAAATAAAAGATCACATTCTCTTAACATTTCAATTAGACACGATACCTTGAGGCATCATTATAGAAACAAGTATGTGAAAAATGCAGTTTAGGAAACAAGAAGGAAAATGCCTCCGATTTTTAAGCATTTAAAAAATTATTTAAGAATGATATTTTGTTCTGTAGGAATTTAACCCCCCCAAAAGAAAGAAAAAATATGAGCTATTTTATCATTAAGCATTTTTAAAATAGGAATATTCAAGGAAGAAACTTTTGGTTTTAATTTATGTGAACACTTTTTCTCTTCAACTGGTTTATTAAAAGGTTAACTTTCATGACAGTGTTATTAAAATATGTACAATATAGAAAATTAAAAATAAAAATGAAGCTCCTTTTCAAGGAGAAAATTCTGCTTTTACAGTTACAGTACAAGGCCAGCTTCTAGCCTTTATTATGGGAATAACTCCAAATACTCTTGATTCTAATTGTGGGGGAAAATAAAGCTTCCCTGCTAGCTGTACAAAATTCACATTTCTGCTCTGCCAGGCAGCCTGTTTCTTGCTGGTAGATGATTGCGACTATTATAGTAGCCTTGATCAAAGGAAAGCATAGAAAATTGTCTTTAAAGTGGACAGTAGAGAGAGTGATCTCTGTGGCCTTGTCAGAGCCATTGATGAGAGTTTGCTACCGATGAGAAAATAATTAGAGAAGATTGTGATGCTAGCTACTTTGGTGGGGAGGGGGGCAGCTGGACTTGTGAATATTTTAGAAGACGTAAAAGTGTCTATGCTGTAATACTGGGTAAGAGAAAAACTGAATATCCCAAATGAAAAAATGTGATATATTGGCTGCACCATTTGGGACTCTTATTCTTTAGAAATTTAAATGATGTGTTTTAGGTGCTTTGGTAGCTTTAGAAGTAAATTAGAATTACCTGGGAATTAAAGAATTTTTAAAAACAGTAGTTTGCGTAATTGCTTAAAGTTTACTGTGGTTCGCTTTTTGATGGAATTTTTTTGTACAAGCGAGTTTCTAACATGCAGGGGTGAAGTGATGTGAATGATCCCTTTAGCACTATCGTGCTGTCGTTATTTTGTAACCTGTCATTACAGTGCACTTCAAATTAATACGACAGATGGTTCTTGTACCTTAAATACTGGCAGTCCTCGCTGCAGTAAACACAACCGCCTCTGCGTTCTCCGAGTTGTTTGGAAGGATGGTGAGAACAAGGGAAGGCGGTTTCATGCTTGTTCTCTACCTAGAGAAGCACGATGTGGATTTTTTCAAGTATGTGTAAGATTTATCTAGCTTACTGCAGTGTCATTAAATACTTTGGTTATTAAAATGTAGCAAATTGCAGTGCTTTTCTAGTTTTGCAATATTAGTCTGAAACTTGAATATTGAGCAACTTTAGTTGTTTAAAGAGTTTCAGCAAAAAAAACTAATAAAATAATAGCTGTAAGATGATTAGAGTATATCATATTTCTATCCACAAGTCTCGAAGTGTTGCCCTTGGCTTATAAAGAGAGATATTAAGTGATTAGTATGTACTGATAGGACTTACATGGCTAGTAATCCAAGATAAGAATTTGTTCTTCCTACCTTCAATGCCATATCATACTTTTAGTTTATACATAGATTAGAGATATATAATAAAAACAATTTACATCCTGGAATTTACAATAACACTAGCCAATCCTACCACACAAGCTTGACCAAAAAAAAAAAAAAAGTGATGGCACAATAAAAATTTAGCTATAGGCGATTCCTAATGCCTTCCCAATCTCTGTGTGTCCCTGAAGTGAATATGAGATGAGAGATAAGAACCTGGGGTCCCTTTACTGAGTCTCTTTCTGCATTCCTTGGAGTGTGGTTCTCATGTTTAAAGATATATATTTTTTCCAAGTTATGCTTCATCTGGAATATAACTGAAAATTGAAAATATTGATCTATGTTAGTGCTGGAACAAAAATTTCTGGGTTAGGCTTTGTCTTCAACACGATGCCTTCTTAAGGAATTTCCTAGGGAAAATTTGATACTGATTTTAGATCTCAAACATTTTACCCTAACCTGAACAAAATATGACTCCTAAATTCACAGATTCCCTCCTCAAAAAGCTTTTATAGATTAAATGGAGGAAATATTATTAGCAATATTTATAATAGTAGCCTCATATCTCACTTGAAACCAAAATTAATAAGAATAAAAATGATGGAATCTGCCTAGTTTTAATTTAGTCTAGGTTAGTTCCTATTGGATTCTCTCTTTTCCTAAGACACTAAGGAAGTTTAGTATTGGGATCATGACAAATCTTTGATCTTACAGTTTTAACTGAAACACCTATAACAGGAACACCGGTGATTATAGCAGACTCTGGTAGCTTTCAGTTATTCTTAATAAAGTGAATGAACTTCTCTAAATATAGATTTTAGACAAAGGGAAGTTCAGAATTATGGAAGATTTCTGTGATTTACACAACTTTGCGAGAGATACTTCTCATAGGTTATAGGCTTTTTTTAAGGACAGCAACCGATGACATAAGTCTGTTTTACAATGTCAAAATAATGGTAACAGCATTGAAGACAGTGTGGCATTAATCGAATGAGCCTAGGCTTAGCCTGTCCTTCCCTGTACCTTCCATATAAACTTTACAATCTTATCTTTTCTTCCCCCAGTGGGCAGATTTGTCCTTCCCCTTCTGCAACCATGGCAAACGCTCCATCATGAGAACAGTGTTGAAGATTGGACCTAATAATGGAAAGAATTTTTTTGTGTGTCCTCTTGGAAAGGAAAAACAGTGCAATTTTTTCCAGTGGGCAGAAAATGGGCCAGGATTAAAAACTATCCCAGGATGTTAATATTTTCTCCTTCTGTATATTAAATATCTGGCATTTAATCTCTTCAAGCTGTTTATAATGCTCAGTCCTCCTTGGTTTCATAGAAAGGTTGTAAAATATCTATGTTACATTGTAAACTTACTGCAGTATTCAAGAGCTGATTTTTTTTTTTTTAATGTGTGTCATCTTTTCATCCTAGGGCTGTGTGTTTTCTTTTAACCTTGATGAATTCTCTGTGTGTTTCATCAGATGTATTCAATTTAGAATGTATATGTAATGCATTTACTAATGACAATAAAGTATTTTTAGTATGCTCTTGTTCTCTTGTAACTTTAGAAAAGTAGTAATTTTTTTTTTAAGGAGAGAATTATGCAGTGCCATAAAATAAGATATTCTGTATAGTCAATGCTTCTTCAGCTATCACTATTTATAATATATGACTAAAGATATTGTTTTCTTAAATGAAATTTTAAAAAATGAGATCTCCTTTATGAATAAGAATATTTTTTATTTTATTCAACAGATGTTAAGTTCTTGTTAGATGCTAGGGATATGCCCAACTCTTGGATAGTTTTAAGTATTTTGTTAATAAATCCCATGTTTATCAAGTGTATTTTTATGGTAAGTTATGGAGATTGAGACTATAAACGTAACAGTTCAGAACAGAAGTTGTGTGTAAATGTTTAAAAGAGAAGTTAATTTATATTTTTCTAATCTTCATTTTGCATCTGTTACTAAATGTTGAAAAATAATTCAATTTCAAAAGCTTAATGTATTGGTTTTTTAAAATTTTTACCTCCCTTCTTTTTTAATTAAATTAGCCTAGGTAACCAAGATTGTTTTCTAAAAGAATACATCACACTTAAGATATTTCTGCATGATTGTGAAAATTTCTTTCAGAGCTTATTCAATCTATTTAATAATAATAATAACAATAATAAAGGACAGCATGGAAGATGGCTCGAACCCCTTTCTCATTCTGTTACCAATTTGCCCATGCAGATCCATAGACATTAACAGCATATGAAATTATCAGCAAGAACAGCATATTTTATAGTCTTTTAAGTGTTTGATTTTGACTCTACGCTGAAAAGACTAAACCAACCTAAGATCAGTGATCTTAGCTCAAAGAACTCAACACAGCAATGGCTCTAGAGGACAGATCAGGCACTGGACTGGACACTTAACAATCTTAGCTAACTTGATGTGATGTACATAGGGTGTGCATTAGGCAAGAAACTGCAAATTAATTGTGCAATAAAGAGAGGAAAAGCCTACTTTGCAAAGGACTTCCATAAAGTCTGGTCTCCAAAAATGTGCAAGTTAATTATTTAAAAATATATAGGCTGATGAAACAATAGGTTTTAATATGATAAATTTAGATCCTCATCTAATAAATGCGCAGGATGTATAATGAAGAAAATTTTAACTGAGAAACACTAAAGATCCAGATGGATTCTGGTCCAAACGAGAACAAAAACAAGTGTGTTGAAAAGATAGCATCTTCCAAACTTAATTCTGAGTTTTAATAAAAATTTCTCATCAAAATATCAATGGGGTTTCGGCTTTCATTGCACCCTAGTAAGCCCCAACTGAACTCAGCCTTCCCACAGATAACTATAGATTCTGGACAAAATCAAAAACAATACTGGAGGGTAAACTAAAGCAGGCAGATTCTTGAGGGATGTAAAACTCTGAAGAAAGAACCAGCTGGTGGTGATTTCCCTTTTTTTTTCCAACTTTTGTCCCAAGAGTAGTACAAAATCAAGTATCAAGTAGGACAACCAGAACTTCCATAGAAAACCTAAAGTCTCTCGCCTGAAGAGTCAGCAGACAGTTGGGGCAACGACAGCCACAAGGAGGCAAGAAGGAAATCTTTAGAAAGGACACAGAGAGGGGGAGCCCCGAGTTCTGTGCTTAAACTCTGGCTAGGCCATAGGCTGATCCTGAACCATATGTGCGTGCCTCAAACGACACACAGCAGCTAAAGATAAAAGAACTGAACCATGATTGACCTGCCACTCAAGAAACAGTTTGCAGTTTGAATCTAGTCAAATTAATTGGTTGCTGAGACAAAACCAGCAACACTCTTTAGGGGAATGCGGTAGGTCCTCAAATAACGTTTCTTTCCACTTATAATGATGAGAAAAAATAAAGTTTCTTGGTGGGCCCCCTGTCCGAGCAGAAGTCCCATGCTTTCCCCTTAGCTACTTGGGTTTTCTCTGGGACTCCAGTTCCCTGTTCCAGTGCTGTGGCCGTCAAGTTCACTGACTGTTCCCATGGTCCCAGTGTGTAGATGTCACCCAGTCACCTGGCGGCGGCATCCTTGCCAGGCCGGGTCCTGCCTGTCATCCTGAGATGCGGAGACAGGATCTAGCCACCCGTGACCCTGAACAGGATTAAGTGGGTTAGAAAAGGAATAAATACAAATTATTATAAAATAAAAATGTGTAAAGCCTATGATAATCATACACATGTATGATTACAAACGATGCGCCACGAAAGAAATGTTCAGTGACCACCATACTTGTTAGTGTTTGGTTATGCTAGTGATGGGAGGTGTTCCCGACCCCTCACCACTATGACCACTGTCACTCATGGATTCTCTGCAGAAATTGGGTAAATCATCCACCTTATTTTTACTAATATGTCTTAAATGTATGTATAGCTCACATTTATTTCAATGTTTAATATTAAAAGTGTTTTGGGTCTTTATTTCGAAGTTTAAGCTGGCTGTGGTAGCAGAACTTGTAGTCCCAGCTACTTGAGAGGCTGAGGCAGGAGGTCACTTGATTTCAGAAGTTGGAGACTGCAGTGAACCATGATTGTGCCACTGCACTCCAGTCTGGGTGACAGAGTGAGACCCTGCAAATAAATTTTTTAAAAAGAAGTTTGGTGATGTTTGTGTGACCAGAAATATGCCCGAGGAACTTAATTCTGACTTATATCAATTCACCTATGAGTATAGTAAAATCGATTCTGTTATACTTAGCTTAAGTCACAGTTTCCAAGACATTAATACCAAATTCACTCTTCACTACATAATATTTATAATTTAAGGGTGCAATCTAAAATGACATACCACATGAAGAACCTGAAGGTGACCCAGCTTTAGAGAAAAGGCAAACAACTAAAACCCACCTCAAGATGGCACAGATACTGGATTTAGCAAACAAGGTTTTTTAAAGCGGCTATTGTAACTATGTCCATGGCAGTGAATGCTAAAGGAAAATGATATCAGATGGAAATTCAAATATTCAAGAAATGGCAAATACCTGAAATATAAAGTATTTTCCCTTTTAGTTTCCTTGAAGTATATTGAATAGTTTAAGGCAAAAAAAAAGAAAAAAAAATCTTGTTCTGTAAATTTTAAAATGCAAGTAAATATATGTAATGACTATATCATAAAGGAAAAAGAGACAGAAAGGCCTATTATATGATTGCAATTTTCTACATTTTATGTGAAATGTTACCAAATTGACTAATTGTACAAAGTTAATTATGTAATACCTATTACCAAATTTGGGCAGTTTTCAATCATTATGTCCTCAAAATTTTTGTAGTCTAATACTCTTCCTATTCTAAGACTCCAATGAGAACAAATGTTAGATTATTAGACTTTTATTTTCCCACAGTTCCCTGAGGCCCTGTTTATTTTCCCCAGTCTATTTTTCTCACTCTTGTTCAAACTGAATAAATTGTGTTGATTTGTCTGCAAGTTCACTGAATCTATTCTCTCTCATTTTCACTCCACTATTGAGACCATCAGAGGGTATTTTATTTTAATTATTGTATTTTCAATTTCTGTCATTTCCACTTGGTTCTTTTTTATACTTTCTTTTTTTCTTTCTTTTTTTTTTTGATGAGATTTTGTTTTTGTTTTTTTCCCCCATTGGCTTCAGAAGAATTTATTATTGATTCATGAAGCACTTTTATGACAACTGCTTTAAAATTCTTATCATTCTAGCATGAACAATCAGGCAAGAGAAAGAAATAAAACCTATCCAGATAGGAAAAGATGAAGTTAAATTATATCTCTTCACATAGATTCCATTATCTAGAAAACCCTACAGATTTTAAAGGACTCCCAGCACTGATAAACAACTTCAGTAAAGTCTCAAGATACAAAAATCGATGCTCAAAAAATCAGTTTTATTTCTATACACTCAACAACCTTCAAGCTGAGAACCAAATCAAGAACACAATCCCATTTACAATAGCCACAAAAAAATAAAACACCTCAGAATACATTAACCAAAGAGGTGAAAGGTCTCTACGACAAGACTACAAAATGCTGCTTAAAGAAAGCAAAGATGCCACAAATAAATGGAAAGATATTTAAGGCTCACGGATTGGAAGAATCAATATCATCAAAATGTCCATACTTTTTAAAGCAATCTTCAAATTCAAGGCAATCCTATCAAATTAACAGCATCATTTTTCACAGATCTAGAAAAATACAATACGTAAATTCAATATGGAAACAAAAAAGAGCACTAATAACCAAAGCAATCCTAAGCAAAAAAGAACAAAGCATCCATTGCCAGATTTCAAACTTTACTCCAAGTCTGCAGTAACCAAAACAGCATGGTACAAGTATAAAAAATAGACACATAGATCAATGGAATGGAATAGAGAACCCAGAAATAAAACCACTGACCTGCAACAAACTCATCTTTAACAAACCCTACAAAAACAAACACTGGGGAAAGGACATCCTATTTACATACAGTGCTGGGAAAACCGGCTAACTATATGCAGAAGGATGAAACTAGACCCCTACTTCTCACCGTATACAAAAATTAACTCAAGATTGGATTAATAACTTAAACATAAGACCTCAGACTACAAAAGTTCTAAAAGTTTAGGAAACACTCTCCTCTACATTGGCCTAGGCAATGAATTTGTGTCCAAGTCTGCAAAAGAAAATTCAACAAAAACAAAAAGTGACAAGTGGAACCTTGTTAAACTAAAGAGTGTCTGCACAGAAGAATAAACCATTAACAAAGTAAACAGACAAT